CTCTCTCTCTCACTCTACCCGATCTTGAACCAGGAACACTCTGACAACCGAGGCAGCAACAACAGCCACATTGTCCGTGCTCTGTTGTGCAACCACCTTTGGTTGCCCTAGGTTACCTAGTTAGTTTTGAGACAGTTAATATTTGCAGTGGCGCACAGGCAGCAGCTACCAACAGCACTACAGCAGCTGCAGGTGAATTTGCAGCCCAAACAAAGCGTTCTTGTTTTGCACATCGACTCGTTTTGTTTGGAAAGCAAAGCTGCTGTTGTACTTTTTTTGGTTGTTGCAATCACAGTTCTGCTGTTGTTTGTGCAATTATATTCTAGCCTTATCCTAGTGTGCTGTCTGTCAATCAGCAAACAGCACTAACTGTTTCGTCACCTTGGCATCGTTACACCTCTTCCTCACGAATCACCATACACACACACATTTTGAACTGTTGAACTCTCAGCATGAACTGTCTCGAGAAGTGGGGTATCGAGAGCTCATCATTTGCCCCTTTCTCAGTGTCTCGGAAGTTGTAAAGTGCTTACCTGTCTGACTATCTGATTGACTGACTGCCTTCCTGACAGTGTGTGTCTGTGCAAGTGATCTTCAGTGTACCTCGGTGTACCTCTAGCTGACAACACTTGCAAGTTTCCTCGTTGCCACCAGTTTTGAGTTTTCACAACAAACAAAATTAGCAGAGTGAGCCATTTGCACGATGATCGATTCCGATCACTCTTCAGACTGGGCCAGCAGTGCATCGGCCAGCAACGGCGGTCACGGGACCCCAACGACTGACCACACCATCAATGTCGNTCACAACAAACAAAATTAGCAGAGTGAGCCATTTGCACGATGATCGATTCCGATCACTCTTCAGACTGGGCCAGCAGTGCATCGGCCAGCAACGGCGGTCACGGGACCCCAACGACTGACCACACCATCAATGTCGTCATTAGGTATGTTGTAGGTTCTCAAAGCGTCAGTGACGAGGGAAGAAGGAAAGGAAGGGGCCTATCTTGGGCTCAGTGTCAGCTCAGGCTGCCGAGGCCCCACAGTGCTTATGCTAATTGCCCATTTCTTCGAGAGAGACTGTAGTGGATAAGTGCTTAACTAGCAGGGTAGTAGTAACTAACTAACTAACTTCTTCGTCTTCTTCTTCCTCTTCATCGTTGTCTGCGTCTAGACAGGGCTCCTTTTCCCATTTAAAGCTATGATTTATGACCTTTTTTGCTAGCGAGAGAGTGTAGTGCTGCCGTAGTGGTGAGGTGTAGTGGCAGTGGTAGTACACACCGGTTGCAAGACAATGTCCTCAACGATGTACTACTTGCAAATTATTAATAAAGTCATCACACTTGGCTGCTCGCAGCAGACACTGGTGCAGTCACTGCCAGTCGGTCCTCTTGTCATCACTTTTCTTTCTTTTCCCATTCTCTTTATCTCTGTTTACTTTGGACGCCCTTCACAAGAGGAGGCATTGGTTTAACCTTCACCTTAGTTGACTGTTGTTTGTCGATTACTAATTGCCTGCCTGCACTTCTACACAGAGTGAGGCCCCTAATTACTGGCCATGGCGATTCGGCCAAAGGCGCACGAGCAAACAGCACCAGCAGTGGCAGTAGCAAAGCAGTCCCTGCCGGGGACAGTGATGGAACGAGTGAAGAGCAATCACCAACTGCCATCACATTTCCTGCTGCCGGACAAATTCAGGTGATTATTGTGTTTTGTCATCAGCTTTGTCAGTGTTTAGAGCAAATGACCAACATAGGCAACTACTGCTTCCTCAATATACCCCTACTACTACTCTATACCAATTGCAGGTCTACGATACGATCGCCGCCACGGACCGATCCTTTGGCTTCAATGTCATCTTTGAGCCTGAAGCCCGCCAGGAGGATGTCTTTGAACACTCAGGCGTGAAACGGCTGATTGATATGGCACTGGATGGGTAGGCAGACAGGCCGGTGAACTACTGGCTAGTTTCACTTTTTCTTTCCTGGTTAACACTTTTACCCTCGCCAGTTTTGCCTGCACTGTATTTGCCTACGGACAGACGAGCACCGGCAAGACGTTCACCTTAACTGGCAATGTTTTCCAGGTTAGAGCCCTCTGAAGTTTGTTCCTCTAGCAGCAGTTTCTGCTGTTGTGCCCCAAACCACAGTGGACAACTCTGTAGTCCCCCGGTATCTTGACGATTTAATTTCTTTTGTCAGATTGAAGCAGAGCGACAGTCAGTGTCGTCTCACCGGCGAGGTCAGCCAGCCAGTCGAAGCAGCGGTGGAAGTCATCGAGGCAAGCCATCATCATCATCTCACAGCAATGGCAATCACAACGGCGCTGCTGCTGCCGCTGCGGCGCCTGGCCCCAAGAACATCGGCATTGTGCAGCTCTCCTTTGCTTATCTCTTCGAACAGATTAAGCGTCGCAAACTTCGTGACAAGACACTTTACGTGATCACCGTCTCCTACTTGGAAATCTACAACGAACAGGTAGGTGACGACGGCCTGGCTGCCACTGCTGCTGCTGCTGCTGTCCATTCATTGTTGCCCTCGCCATCTTTCACCATCTTTCTCACTTGTTTTTCCCACTCAACTCAACTCTACTCTCAGGTTCTCGACCTGCTAAATCCGTCGCCTCGATGTCTGAACGTTCGCTGGGCAAAGGATCGTGGCTTCTACGCGGAGAATCTCTTCAAGGTGGAGTGCGAAGACATCGGCGACCTGGAAGGTGTTCTCGAGGAGGGTAAGAGCCGTTTTGTTGTTGTTGTTGTCGTTTTGTGCTCTGGAGCAGGAGTGCTTTCTGAAATTGTTTGCAGATGTCGTTGTGAGTCTAGAGTTTTTGGTTTTTTGCGTGTTTGCCTACACACCACCAAACTAGACTGGTATATAGCGCGTGAACAGCCACCAGCTCCCCGAGATGAAGTTTGCTGTGCGTTGCTGGTGATGGCGATGGTGATGGTGCTGGCAGTGACAGTGGCACTGCCAGTAATGTCTCTGGTTTCTCTTCTCTCTGAATCTTTTTCTTTTTGGTGTGTGTGTATGTGTGCAAATGTCTGCCAGTTGACGGTTCATTAGTTCTCGCGGAGAGCATGCTTTAGACAAGTGGAAAGGCATCATCCAACGACCAGCACCAGCAAGTCCAATTAATTGATCGTGCCGACTGCACTGCACTGCACTGAGAGCTCTATCCGACCGACAGAACACTAGAATCCTGCTCTCCGCTCACTGGACTTTGCGGCTGCACTAGAGTTTGATTTAAAATTAATGAGTGGAACTTGTGCTGGTGAGTGTGTGTGTGTGTGTAGTTGCAGACACTGACGCTGATGCCGTGAACCCCAAAGAAGTGGCTGCTGGCTCTGGCACGAACATAGTGTGTGCACTCTCTGTACTTTCTTTGCGCGGGCGGGTGTCGTGCACTTGACAAGTACCAAATGGCTGCTTGCCATCATTTATCTGACCCTCTATTGAGACGTAAGACTACTACTGCTGCTGCTACTGATGCTTCTCAAACTCTGAAGTTAGAGTTGAAGAGCGCAGCGTTTTTGCAGGCCGCCAATTGATTGTTTAAATTGCAAACTCGGACATAAGCATTGCTCTCTCTCCCTCTCAATTTCTTTCTTCGGCAACTATCACACACTTCACTGCTCCCAACTGGTGGTGATTGTCGTCCTCTTTAGCTGGGCTATATAGTCACCACAAAAACGCCACTCAAACTGTCACTCGCAATTGGCCAAGTGTGGTGCAAATTTTAATTATTAGACAGAGAAGAGAGTGAGTAAGGAAGGATGGCTCAATGTGCGCTGCTAGTGATCGAGCAGAAGTTGGCCGACTTCCTCTTCACTGACTATCTTTCTCTTTTTCTGTCTGTGTGTGTGTCTTATGGGCAATCTAATTTATGAACGCACTTAGTAGGCTCGACTTGATCTGCTTTTGCCGTTTGAGTTTGAGCTCAAATTGAAGGGTCATCGAGTGGCACAATCATTACTTCAGTTGGCGGCACTGATCACTGCTGCTAGTTTTCTTCTTTCTCTTTTCTTTAAATTTAGTGGCTTCTTTTTTAAACTTTATGTTATTATTATTTTAAAGTGTGCGACAATGCGACAAAAGCTTTTCAGAGCAATGCGACTGGCAGTCCGAAAACCCAGCACCCGTTAAAAATGTTGACTGCAGTAATTTAATTTGCCATGTTCGATGGTCGCTGATAGGAGGCGATTGTTGCCAAGTTGAAAAGAAAAGGAGAGAGAGAGAGAGAGAGAGAGAGAGANAGAGAGAGAGAGAGAGAGAGAGAGAGAGAGAGAGAGAGAGAGAGAGAGAGTTGGAAAGAGTATCTAAAAGAAGTGCACAATTTGGCAGAAAGGGGGCAAGCGGACTGCATCAGCGACTGCACATTAATTACGCACTATCGATGAACATTCGGTTGAGTAGTACAGTTGGCAGCTGAAGAAGTGGCACTAGTTTTGGTGGTGGTGGTAGTGGTGGACAGTCGGCGACGACGTCGGCGGCGGCGGCACTGAGCAGATCATGTCAATCACTGGTCTGTGTGTGTGCGATGACGGCGATGATACGAACGGAAATTCGGGTCTGAGCCGGAGAGTGGATTAGTCCGGTGGTGGTGCAGTCACAGTCGTCTTCAGTACTTTTTTCGGTTCGTTGCTGAGGCGTCTGCTGTTGCTGCTGCTGCCGCTGTTGCCTTTTCAGCTCGATACAAGCTGAGCACACTGTCCAAGCAAATCAAGCATTATTAATCGGTCGCGTCAACATGGCCCAGTCAATCATGCTAATAACTGTAATGACAGTAATCATCTTTGGGCAATTGTTGTGCTGGCCGCATGTCAACGCTAGTACACTGCCAGTACTGCTACACTGCTGATCAATACTACTCGATACATTGCCAGGCAGCAGCACAGTGCTATCTGCTTGTCATGCTTCAACTGGCAGTAGTACACTACTCTGGCCAATTGGCCCGCACTTGGTTTGTGTCTTTCGTCTTCTATTGAGCCTTTCTTTGGCTGCCACATGCGATGACTGCTGCTGCTGTTGCTCAACGTCTCCTCTGCCCCACCGACCAACCGACGGGCGACTGTCCTCATCGCTTGTGGTGGCCTGACTGACTGACTGGCTGGCCATCGCCATGCAAATTCGTCCTCTATGCCTGATCCAATTAGGAATTAAGAATAGACAAAAGTGGCAATTTGCTTGCTCTCTGACTCTTATGCTTCCCTCATTGTCTGCCTCTTGTCTGCTGCCCACAACAGCGTAACTTTTTTCTCTCTCTTTCTTCTTGCGTGCACGTTCTCTTCGCGACCTCGTCGTTGTAGTTGTCGTTGTCTTCCTAACTCACTGTCTCTTTTACTTTATTTTGTCTTCTTCCTTTTATTATTAATCGGAGCCGATCGCGAGCGAGATCGGTCCGTGTGCTTTATGCGTGCCATCTCGGCCGCAAAATATGCTTTTGGGTCAAAAAAATGTGTGCACTCTCTGCACTGCTTCTCCGCACTGGCACCATTGGTCCTCTTGCTCCTCACACTGAGGATAACTGTCTGCCTAACTGTCGTTCTGTCTGACTCTCTNTCTCTCTCTCTCTCTCTCTCTCTCTCTCTCTCTCTCTCTCTCTCTCAAAGTGGCCAGAATAATCTAATTTGGGTGCAGACTTTGTCAGCAGCAGCAGCAGCAGAAATGGGCAAAGTCGCCGGCAGAATTGCCGCTTAATCAAAGGTCAATCCTCAATCGGCCAATGAGCACAAAGTGCTCACTGAACTGAGCCGAGCGCACATAAAGGGGTGCTCAATGTCTGCCACACACACACACAATCCTAGGGTCAGCACACAATCTAATTAAAGCAATCCACAGTTTGATGTTGCACCGCTTTCGATATCTGTCCTTTGGTGATTTTCTATGCGTCGATGACTGAAGTGCACTACAAAGCCTCGATGATCAGCCAGAACTCTCTAATGGACTTGGTGGATCAGTGTGACGAATTTACTAACAAACTGCTGAGCTAGTCTAGACAGTCGTCGAGACCACCGAAGGCACTGATTCACTAGTAAAAATATGGGGAAAAAAGTAGTGAAGAATCGAGAAGACGAAAACGACTACGCTAAAACAAAGCCGCAGCACGAGCAGCACCCCCTCGCCACTAATTACACTGACGCATTTTTACCCTCTTTTTTCTCTTCATTATTTACAGGTTGCAAGAACCGTCAGGTGCGAAGTCATAGCATGAATGAGAACTCCAGTCGCAGCCACGCAGTGATGACCATCACCTTGTCTTCTGAAACCCCCGATCCAGATGATCCACAGGTAATTACCCCGCTGGTGCAAGCAGAGGTAGAGATAGCGATCTAGTGGCCATTGGCCATGGACACAGCGATACTTTGATTGATTGGCACACTGCTGACGAAGTTGAAGAAGCAACGCCGGTGATTGTCGCTGGCGGCGGCGGCGACGGCAATGGCAGCGACGGCGGCGTCAGTTGGCAGTGAAGGTAGACTGTCGTCTTGTGTCAACTCGTGCGCCGATTACGTCTCACTTTGGACGAGAAGTAGGCACCTGCTGATTGGGGTTTTGAGCAGTGCACATCATGGCAGCAACAACAGCAGCAGCTAAATCATCAGCGCTCAATCGACTTGTCCTTCTCACCCTTATCATAGGCCGATGTCAGCATGTCATTGCGGCAGATTCTCTCTGTGTTTATGTGTTTATGTTTATGCTCTTTTCCCTGTCTGCAGTCTTAATCTACTGCACTACGCGCACTATTTCATCTCACCGCAGCGACACACATTGAGTTTAGACGCTTTCAAGAAAGTGGCGATAATGATGATTCCTTTCATACACTTGTACTTAGCAGTAAGGAGACCGGCTGACTTTAATACTGCCATTATAGGCGCCATTTGGAGGCGATCATTACTACTTCTGAGGAGGGGAGGGGAGGGGGGCTGCTGCTGCTGTTGTTGTTATTGCCGCCGCCGCCGCCGCAGTATCTGTTGCCTTTTTTTCTGCTAATCTGTAATCTATTTTATCTATCCTCCACTACCGACTTCTGTTCATTCCCGTGCTTAAGGGCTTCATACGCAAGGAAGGCCGCTTTTGCCTGGTCGACCTGGCCGGCAGTGAGAAGACGAAGCGCACCAACAGCAAAGGCGGCACTTTCGTCGAAGCGAACAACATCAATCGTTCTCTTCTCGTGCTAGGTAAGAGCACCACTGAGAGACGGTGATCATCTTTGGCCGACAAACTGCCGCGCCACACACACTCACGCTGGCGCCAAGATGAGGAGCCGAAGCGCCGGCATTCATCTCTCTGCCGCTTAATTAATTATTCGCCATTTATTAATTTTTTCTTTCTCTCTCCCTCTTTCTTCTCTTTTTCTCTAGGAAACTGTATCAGGTGGAGTTATTACTACTGCAACTACTCAGCTAGCTGTGCTGTAGTACAGCTACCTAGACTTAATACACTTACTGCTTCTTTTCTCCTCTTCTGCTAATGCTGCATCATTAGTTGCCTGGCGGATCCGAAGCGGCGCAATGGCCACATACCCTACAGGGACAGTGTCCTCACACGACTACTGCAAGACAGTCTGAACAACGCCAAAGTGCTCATGGTTAGTTACTTACTTGTACTTAGTCGGTAGATGTTGTAGTGTTAGGTAGTGCCAGTGGTCATTGGCTCGCTCACTCACTGCTGAGTTATGGGCACTCCGTCGGCCGCCACTGCTGCTGATGCTGTTGTTGAAGAGAGCAGCTCAGTTGGCTGGTTTTTGTGAATGAACTGAAAAGAAGAAAGAAAGATATTGAAGGATGCAAATGCCGCCGCTGATGCCGCCGCTGCCGAATGCTGCTTCGGCCATCACCTATAGTGAGCCGCATCTTTTTCAGTGGCCGCCACTGCTGCTGCTGATCACCGGCGGACCGTGCTGGCCAACTGGCCGAACAATGCACTACAAGCTGCCATTTACATGCAAATTGATTTGTGTCTGTGTGTGCGCGCTCATTCAGTGATGTGCTGTGAATGCGGCTGATGGTGATGGCGATGGAGCGGCACTTGTGTCCGAGGACGATTCTCTTCCCCTCCTCCTCCCCTGTGCCTTCTTCGCTTGCCGCCGGCTGCCCATTCATAAATCACAATTACATGAGTGACCATCTCCCCCTCAGTGTGTCCACCAGGAGCTTTTCTTTGCCTTCTTTTCAGTCTGTCTTCCTTGTGACTGGTGAGCACTTGAAGCGGACGTGCTCGCACCGAGAGAAAGAGAGAGAGAGAGAAAGATTGATTCCGTGCTCGATCATCTCTTTCTCTGCTCACTAGTGTACTCATTAGTCGTCAGTGGCACTAAAAGAGGCCAATTATATTTGCTGTCTGGTCATTGTTCGCCGACTGGACACCAATCATGCCTGCTTTGGCGCCGCATTGATTCCTCGCTGGTGCTGCTCCAACGGATGATGATAGCCACGCTGACCAAGGGGGCTATCTCCAGTGGTGCTGCTCAAGCTCCAAGTTTGAGCTGTTTGTGTCAGTGCACATTGCACGATGAATGACTTGATTGATATTAATTGCCGCATCACAATGAAGGCGAATTGTTGCATTGAATGGGAAGAGAAAGAGAAAGAGAGGCAGCCTATGCAAATAGGCCACCGTCCACTTGAACTCTTGACGTCTATAGTCTTTCTGGTCAGTACCAGCACCGTATCACTGACAGTGATACTTCCCTTCTTCTTCTTTTCCTTTCTCATTCTGCTCACCACGGCAGTGTCAATCTCTCTCAGTGTTTGCTTTGTTTTGCCGGGCCAGGCTTGAGCACAAGTTTTGGGTGAGTACACAGCTGAAAAGCCATTGAGCAGTGATGATTATGCTGGTGGTGGCGAGCAAGTACTAGAGTTGCCTCTTCTCAAAGTTCAGATGTAGTACAAGAGCTGGAAAACCAAACAAACTATTGCCGTGACTGCCTTGCATAAGTGGCTGTCCAGAGGGAGAGAGAGAGAGAGAGAGAGAGCTGGGAGCTGCTGGCCCAGAATGCTCTTAAAGTGATTAACACCATTTCCGAGGCGTACTAATTTGTCCATTAGCTAATTGACTGACTGACTGCCTGGCTAATAGACCCATGTACTGCTGAACTGCTTTGTTGTTGTCCTTTTTTAAGCTTGGAGTTTTCTGCTAATCGCCCTAATGGTCGATACTGCTGCTGCAAACAGTGAACATCACCAGACAGTTAGTTTTTATTACAAAGCAGTTTGTTTAACTATGCAACACAGACGACACGTGTTTTTTATGACCAGCGACTGTGGATGCTGTTTCGAAATCATTCACGAGACAAAAGCTGATGTGATTCAAAGCTAAAATTTACTTTATTTGTAAGCAAATTTATAAATATAGTTTATAAGTCGCCTATCGTCGTCGTCGTCGGTGGCAGTGGTAGTCGCCAGAATTGGTCACGCTTCAAAGCTGTGTGTCAGAGTGTGTGGGAAAATGAGTCTGAACAGCGCCCAGCAAACGCGACAATTAGTCTCGATTCGATCGGCCGCTTCAGTAACTGAGAGTTTGTTTGCTTTGAGCACGGTGGTGAGTAGATACTGTTGCCAAAGAAGTAGTTTTCAGTTGCTCATTGGCTTTCCTAATGGGCTGCTTTAGGAGTTGAGTGGTGGTGGTGGTGGTGATGGTGGTGATGATGACGGCGGTGGTTAGGCAATTGCTGGTCACCCATGGCCATTGCCAGATTGAACTTTTCTCGCAATGAGAACCTAAATTTGACTGCACTCTGTTGTCGTTTATCCTCTCCTTATTAGTGGCTAATCGATTGACACTAATCGACAGCAGTATATTGGCCCAATTACCGTTAATGCTCACGAGCTGTTGATGTGAATGGTGCCAGATGGCATTTCTCCACAGGCTTCAAAGTGGCTCTCCTTCTTTACTGTCACCAACTGTCAACTATCTTCACCTGTATATGTTCTACTTTTTTCCCATTTTCCAGATTGCCTGTGTGTCACCGCTGAAATGTGATTCTCAAGAAACGATCAACACGCTTCGTTATGCCTGCAGAGCAAAGCGAGTTCGAATGAACCCGGTGGTTCAAATGGTACAGTACCAGCAAATGGCAACGAATGTGATCACTGTGACTTTTACCGCGTTTTTCCAAAACAAATTACATCTTGCATTAGGACCCACGAGAGTTGCTTATTCTCAGCCTGAAACGAGAAGTGCGCTCACTGCGAGTGGAGAACAGCTATCTACGGCAGCACTTTCAGCATATTCTCGCCAGTTCACAGGTTAGCTCTAGCTCTTTATCTCCAGTTTTCATGGCTTGTTATTATTTACCTCCACAACTTCCCAGCCCGACGAGAATGGCGTCGTCAGTGGCGTTGACAAGGGCACCATTATGGCTATTCTGAGCAGCAACGGTGGCAGCAATCAGGAGGCTAATCATGATGCTAATCGCGCCGATGCAGGCGGCCAGCTAAGTCTGACCGTGCGAGAAAATGAAATGCTCCGGTAAATAATAATAAGACCTTTTGCGTACACAGAACAGTCCACAGTTGTTGTTTGTGGCTAGTAGACGTGTACTGAAGGCAACCCCATCCACTAAGCCTTTATTTACCTCCTTTCCTTTCTTTTCCTCTTTTCTTCAACCTTTCTTTTTTTGTCTGCCTGCCTTCCTAATCCTAATCTGCTAATGCGCCATTCAGCGTGGAGAATGTGCAGCTTAATCTGCAGCGAAACCGCCTGATTCGTGATCACGAGCTCGTCTGTCGCGAGAATGAACGCCTGCTGAAGCAGCTGCAGACGGTCCTCGGCGGAAGGGCCGAGGGCAAGTCACTGCTGATGCAGCAGCAGCAACTACGTCACCGGTCAAGTGGAGCACCTTTGAGTGGCGGCAACAACATTGCTCTGCTGCCTTTGCTCTCCTCGTCGGCGTCATCGCCGTCCCTCTTATCACTTGTCTCCGAGGAAGAGGTGCAGAACAGTATGGCTCGACTGGCGGTCAACAGTGCTGTCGTCGGGGGCGCTGGTGATGATGACTTGCAGCAGCAGTCAAAGACGGTGCCAGCAGCAGCAGCTGTGCGCTCTGCCAACGGAAGGAGCAACAGCAGCAGCAGAAATGAACGTCAGCACTCTTCAAGAAGTAGTGCTCCTTCGGAAGATGGCGAAGAGCTGGCGACCACTGAAAATGGCAGCAGGACAGCCGCCGCTGAGTATACTAATGATCTGATATTGATTACACAATCTAGACAGGCCGGCGACAAGCTCTTCGATCAGTCGTCCTCGCAAAGTTGGTCCTCGTCACGCTCCTCCGCTTCGCAGAATGGAGTTGGTGGTGGCTCCAGTGGCCACCGTAGTTCAAGGCACCATCAACATCAACAACAACAGCAGCAACTTTTAGGTGAGTTTTCTTTCATTTGCAGGCAAACTTTGCTTTATTTACTTTTATCATTTTCACTACCACTACCTTGTTTTTGCTGTAGCAGATCAAGGGCAACCTACGATGCAACTTGACCTGACTATTCGCGGTAAATCGGCGGTTAATGTGATCGGCAGTGGTAATCGTGCAGTGCAGGGAGGCACTGCTGCCTCTTCAAGACGACGCAATTGATTCTCCACGCCTCTGTACGACTACAGCCTATTGCATAGGTCGATCGAAGAGTGTATAAAATATTGCAAATAAATTCGAGAGTAATTGTTCATCAGAGTAGTAAGAAGTAGTTTTTGCTCGTTATCTTTGTGTTTTCAAAACATTTTTTTCTTGAAAAGTCCTTGTGATTTAAACTTTTTTATTTGTGTAAAGTTGGTATGATCTGTCATTGCAACTGAGAACACGCAAGCGGCAAGAACCAGCATCCAGAATGGGAAATCGGCAGATTGTTCAATTCCTTTTTGATAAACCGTCCTCAAGTGGTGCTGCAGTTGAGTAGTAATGGTAGTAGTATTCTGAGTCGGTAGTGGGCAACCCTCGTTAGTCGTAGCTCACCAAACAAGGTACGTGCTGAAGTGAAATGGAACAGACACCACCACTGCCGCCACCGATTGAGTCACATTGAGTGTGTCGTGTTCGCGTGTGAGCCATCCATCACTGCTGATCATTGGAACTGGAACTGCTGGTGCTGATGGTGGTGTGTAGTGCAGTGCACCTTCAGCTCTTCTGAGCCTACTCTTGCCCATTCTCTGCTGTGGTCTCATCACTGCTGGTGCTGCTCTTGATGGCACTTTTCCCTCTCGTCAGTTTGCGCTTTCACTTCTAACCGGGCGGTGCTTTCACCCTCGCTCTCATTCCCTTTGCCAGTGCTCTACTTTGTAACTGTAATTAAATTGTGAGCACTATCCACCCTATGCTGCCGATGTCACGCGCGTTTGTTGGGCTCGTTGCGCCGAGTGGCCATCACTGTGGAACCGCAGATTACAATTTTATCCTGGTAAAAGTTTAGTACATTGTACACTAGTACTGAGCTTTCCAATGGGTTTTCCTTTTTTCATTTAATTTTTCTTCTTATTGTTTCTGCAATCACTTTTCTGTTGTAATGTGATAAATGACGTCCTCAATTACATTGTCAAATACTAATGTTTCTCTCTCTCGCATTTAGTAGTTTTTTATTAGTCTTTAGGAGTCTTTAGTAGTTTTTAGTAGTTGCATTGGCAGACAAAAAAGTTATCAAGCTCTTGTACTCTGATCGACCATTTAAGTCAATTTATTTTTTGCCTATTTGTTAAGCTTTGCCCATCTACGGAAAGATTTTTTTAAAGATTGTAACAACCAAAATGTTTTCCCCTTAATTTTTTTATACAATGTACGGTACATTTTTTGTCAAGATTTTCAAACACTTACCAACAAACAACTACTAAAATGGGCACATTAATAATTGATGACCACAGCAGACAATTGCTCAAATATTGTGCCGTTGTCACTGTGCATTCGGTGGGAATTTGTTTCATTTGCTGATGAGAGAAGACAATGAAATGATAGTAAAACTGTTTGTGGTGTTTATTGGATGGTGGTGAGTCACTGCTGATTTGATGGGAAGAGAAACGCAAAAAGAGAAAGATACACTGAGACAGTCTTTTGCCAGAGACACTTTCCGACATTGTCCACTGCCGTGTGGCAGCGTGAAATTTGTCCGCTCTCTTTGGTCACGGTACTCTGCATTCGGTGCTCTGCAGAACTCGACCGACACGAGTCGATGCTTAGAAAAGTGACAACTGCTGAAGGAGATTGGCGCTAGCTGATAACGGTCAAAGCTGAAGATTCCTTACCATTGACAACGGTAGAATGCAGGCCAGTGTGTATTCTGCTGCCTAAAGTGAGTCAGCAGAAAAAGGTGCTGCTCAGGCAAAGTGCGTGCTAAACATGAATGCTGGTTTTACTGCTTTATCTTGTCACTTTTTATTACCAAGCACGACCATGGCAGTAGTCATTCGATATGTTCACTGTGAGTGCATCCTATCTATCTACCGCTGTCCTGCTGTCTCCCTGCGCACTACTGTTCACTGTTTACTCGTACGCCCAGTAGGCACAAAGTTTGCTGTACCTAAAGAGATCCCTAGCATTTGGTGATGACAATCGGTGCCATCACTGCCCTTATCATCACTACTAAATCGATTGGACTGCTGCTGCATTTGCCACGCTAGGTGCAAGTTCAACCAAGTTTGACTGTTGAAAAGAAGACAGGAGATATTACGCTGTCGCCGTTGAAATGATCGATTGTCGCTCGGTGGAATGTTCGATTAGTCGTGCGCCAGCAGTAGTAGTCTGTCTTTTTCCTTTCTTTTCTGTCTTTTTTTTGCTGTCAGCACTACTATAAGCATGCTAAAGAGTAAATAGAAAAATTGCAACTCATGCATCAAAGTAATTTGTAATCGAAGATGTGCTGCCCGATTCAGCAGTAAGTGCCTACTACTTCGATTGGTGTGGCAGGCACACACTCAGCTGCTTGCAACTGTGATGCTGTTGAACTGCCTTCCTAGGTGGCAATTTATTTCAATTAGTCCTACTACTGCTAGTGATGGACACAATCGCAAATAGCCATGAATAGTAAATGAGAAAAGAGAGGGAGAGAGAAACATGCGAGAACATGGTCACCAGGTAATGTCAGTGCGGTGATGGTCATAATGGAAGTGGAAGTGGAGGGCAGGCAGCGACGATGTCCACGACGACGACAACGACAGACAGTGCAGCAACCGGACACAGGGGAAAGACTGGCGCATGTGTCATCGGTTCCAGGAGAGGACAGGAGAGGACAACACAGCACACTGGGCTACTTCCATTCATTGGACTGTGCTGGTGGTGATCGTCGTGATGGCGATGTCTGAGCACACGACTAATTACGAACACCATTAGTGGTCGAGGCAGTCTCAATTATGCTGATTATAGCCACGATGCAGTAAATGATCTTACACAGCGGTGCAGTCATCGATGTTAAAGTCAGGCAGACGGCAGTTCGCTGCACCAGGCAGCAGGCGAACAATACCTGCTCCTGCTGCTGGAGAGCACTGTTGCTGGTTCGTTGTAGCTGCAGCTATTATCGTCAATATATTGCTACTATTAGCGCATAATATTTTCATCAGCAGCCAAGGAACTGAGTTGTGACCACTGAAATATGATTCGAGCAAGCGGCACCATTAATCATCCTCCAACGGCAGTGACACCGACACACACACTCAACATTGGCGCTCATGTTGACACGATGCTTGCCAATTGTGTGCACTTGAAGCGGTCCGACTGTACTGGTCGACTGTGTGTGTGACTGTGCACTCTTCTACACTTCTTCTGTCACCAGCAGCTTCAGAAATGAGTTGATGGTGCTGCTGCTGCTGTTGCTATTGAGTGCTCCAGCCCTCTCTACCCGTCTATTAATTAGTATATCGTGATTAATTACCGCCGATGGACAGTGCCGCTGCTGGTGCAGCCGTTGATGGCGTTGTCGCAACGCCGATCTGTGCTCTCTTCTCGGCACAATCATCGCCAAATGGACTGTTGTGGAGCCAAAAGTAGTAGTGGACAGAAACAGTAGAAGCGACGATCGGCGGGAGCACTTGCTCAAACTGTCAGTGCCCAGCAGAAAGATTGATTTTGGCTCCTCTTCGGCATCGCCTTTCTCTCTTTCTTGTCGATAATCAAATTAGTGTTTCATCGCAAACAGCGAATTGATTTGTTTCAGAAGAGTTTTCTCTGTGTACTCAAGTGACGCTCCACTTAAATGGACTGGACGGGTTGTGTCAAGAGCAGTGGTCGTCGCTGGACACAAGAGTTGTCAGTGCAATCGCCTCCAATGGTGGTGGTGAATGGCTGTTCAGTAAATGTCACTGAGCAGCCATTTGCCGCAAAAGCAGTAGCCACAGTGCCGTGTCCAGTGAAACGTGACGTAAAACAAAAGGGAACACTGAGGCACCCACGACAGCAGCTCCACCGAATAATGACCTAGTTGACCTTTGACTTAGGCCTTGTTTTGCTTGATTTGAGCATTCCCTCTCATTTAAAGTCACTCACACTCTTTGCATTGTTG